CCCCTCTGTGTGTTATAATTTGCAAACCTGTGGATTAAAGTTGCTAGATAATATGAAACACATTTAAATGTAAAAAAAAACATGGCATTGTTGGGAGTGTAAAACGTCTGCCTAGGAGAGCTCTCCCTTTAGGAGAAGATTTTGCATTGGGGGTGTTATTAAGTTAATCAGAATGATTGAGTTGCCATTTAACCTGTTTATATTTTTGACTTGTTGGGAGTGGTCCAGGCTGAGGACACTTGTAGCCAGTAGACGGCGATCAAACTCTTTGGTGAGCCTGTAGTCATTGAGGAAGACACATTGGGGAGGGTGGATGCCTTGCCCTGTGTAGTGTTCATACTCTGCTAATTGAAAGCCTCAGGTCATACGAAGGAAGCAGAGGGTGAATTGAGGGAACCTCTGTTTAGTACATACAGCTATGTGGATATAGGACAGGACTCTAGAAGTGTGTTCAACAACAGCCCATTGAAAATGCAGCACATGGAAAAGCCTCCAAGCATTAGAAGATGATCTAGATGAGTCCCAGACGGAGACTGCTTGTAAAAAGTTATTTTACCATTCTCCATTATGTTCATACCAAGCCAGTACTAGTTATAAAACAGTAACTAGACAACGTGTTCAATGCCCACTAGTAGCTGCCGATTTTAGTCGTACAAACTGGCTCTGTTTTATAACCACAAAATTGCAGACAAGATGCATGCAGTGATATGCACCTGAATAAAATAATAAGGGTTTTTTTTTTCTAGCACATGATTGATTATTCAAAGTGAACCCAGCTTCACCCTATTCACTAACATTTACTTGGCAAAGTAAAATAAATCTTGCAAAGTGGGCATGCACTGTGCTAAGTGAACGGCCTCAAACCCCATTAGTAAATAATTATACTGTTCAAATATCTGTTTTTTCATTACATGGATTTTAAGTCCTGTAAGCAAAAATGTTGCTTCAATTTTAGCAAAACGCCCCTGCCCTAGTGATGAATGTAGCAGCATGAAACACACAAACATGCATTTTAATATGCATGTGAAAAGCGCTCATATTATGTAAAAATGGCAAATGCGTTTTTAAAACAAAAAAACAAGGTGAATTTGTTCAGTATACCCATATACTATCATCTATAGGCCCAACGATGAGCTGTCATGAGATGAGACTGGCACTGACACGAGATGTGCCCTGATGCCACCTGCGAAGGAGCCTGTGGCTGGCTAGATCACAGTGGCCTGCCCAATACCAAATTTTCCCAGCAGACAATACAGCTAGATATTACAGACATACGTTTTCTGTATTGCTGAATAATTTCCTTCATTATTTAGGGGGAATTTGGACAATATGATATGCAAAGGACAAAAGCGGGTCAGATCTAGTATTAGAAGGCTATTGCAGGGAGTCCTGTGCTGCATTTTGGAGAAATGTCAGGCATTGCTCTGGTATTTCTGTATTGTCCGCTGAGCAGTTTGGGGAGAGAGAAGCTGGATACCCAGATATAATTGACACACCGCAGCTTTGTATCTTTGGCACTGTGTGTTCCTTGCCCGTTCTGGAGGAATGATTCGTCTTTCTATAGTGTGGAAAGGTGGGCGGCTCACTGTTTTTGTATTTCTCCTACTGGCCTCGGTAGGAGGGCTCAGCTTTTTCTACTAACAAGTCATTTGGCCCATTTGGTTAGCTTCGCACTCAAATAAATTAATTTTCAAGCTGAAACAAATGTTTAAAGAGAAATGTTCATATCCTTTGAAGAGGTCAGTCTGATCCAGTCTATTAGTAAATAGATGGCTAGGATTATTGGTGAGCTGTCAGTTCGTTACATAGAACCAAAATGTATCTGGAAGCAACAATCGTCAGTGTGCCGGCTCTGGACCCCAAATCTATAACCTATACCGCATGACAACATGTGCAGTGTATTGCTCGTCTGCTTATGTGCTTTCCTGATCTGTTATTTGGCTACAATGAAATGTGCAGTCAGATCCATCATGTCTGTTATCTTTGTATAATCAGATTCAGCATCTTGTGAAATCAGTGTCATTCTGCCAAAGTTTCTGGGATCTGTCACGTCTGATCATGACACTGAATTCAGACTTTCGGTACATATGGCAGTCAAAGTATATAAAACTTAGATGATGTGTGTGACCACTTCTGTTCCTTGGCCAGTTCGCCCAGTGCTTTTTGTGTCCGAGATCAGGTGCATCTGGGAAGAAATGGTTCGTCTGCACATTACAATGAGAACTTAATTATACCCTGAAGTCCCCTCCTAATTTCCCTCCATTCGAGCCGCCTGCATAGAAGATGTTATCAGCCCTGGCAGATCCTTGATGTGTGATTGACACAATCTGTAACTGTCTCTCTCTTGTCACTTAGCAACTACTTACACCTGCTCCCTATCTGCTCCTAGACGAACAGTACTCTCAGCACTACAACCTGTGCTCACACAAGCATCCCCCCAGACTGCATTATAGAAGATTCTTTATCAGAGAGGGCAACACAGGGCACCTAGAGACTATTACAGACAGGATACCAAGTAGAGACTGGATTGTGTTCATTACAAGTCCTATGATACATTACAAAGGATCGATTTTCTGATCAGATTCAGTTTTCTCTATATTTGCATCTGTCCTTTCTAATTTTCTACATATCTAACCTTTCTAGAAACGTGCTGGTGCTACGATTCCCTTCCCAGTCATATCTTGTAAAAATCTATAAACCCTTTTGGTTCAGAGATTATTACTTTTCTGTCATTTCTGCATATCTAACCTTTCTATAAATGTGCTGGTGCTCTGATTCCCTAGGTATGACTTGTATAAATCCATGAACCCCTTTAGTCTGGAGATTACTACTCCTCTGTCACCTCCTCATATCTAACCTTTTTATAAAAGTGCTGGTGTTCTGATTCCATTTATATGTATACCTTGTATAAATCCATGAACCCCTTTAGTCTAGAGAGTAGTACTCCTCTGTCATTTCTACATATCTAACCTTTCTATAAATGTGCTGGTGTTCTGATTCCCTAGGTATGATTTGTATAAATCCATGAACCCCTTTAATCTGGAGATAATTACTTATCTGTCACTTCCACATATCTAACCTTTGTATAAAAGTGCTGGTGTTCTTATTCCCTTCCTATGTATACCTTGTATAAATCCTTGAACCCCTTTAGTCTGGAGATAATTACTCATCTGTCACTTCCACATATCTAACCTTTGTATAAAAGTGCTGGTGTTCTTATTCCCTTCCTATGTATACCTTGTATAAATCCTTGAACCCCTTTAGTCTGGAGATAATTACTCATCTGTCACTTCCAAATATCTAACCTTTGTATAAAAGTTCTGGTGTTCTGATTCCATTTCTATGTATACCTTGTATAAATCCATGAACCCTTTTATCCTAGAGATGACTAATCCTCTGTCACCTCCTCATATCTAACATTTCTATAAATGTTCTGGAGTTCTGATTCCCTTTCTAGGTATGACTTGTATAAATCCATGAACCGCTTTAGTCTGGAGATTATTACTCCTCGGTCACTTCCACATATCTAACCTTTGTATAAAAGTGCAGGTGCTCTGATTGCCTTTCTATGTATACCTTTTGTAAATCCATGAACCCCTTTAGTCTGGAGATTATTACTCCTCTGTCACCTCTTCATATCTAACCTTTTTATAAAAGTGCTGGTGTTCTGATTCCCTTTCTAGGTATACCTTGTATAAATCCATGAACCCCTTTTAGCCTAGAGATTATTACTCCTCTTTCACCACCTCATATTTAAACTTTCTATAAAAGTGCTGGTGTTTTGATTCCATTTTATGCCTTGTATAACTCCTACACCGTTGTCTGGAGTCTGAAGATTATTACTCCTCTGTCACCTCCTCATATCTAACCTTTCTATAAAAATTCTGGTGTTCTGATTCCCTTCCTAGGTATACTTTGTATAAACCCATTAACCCTTTTAGTCTAGAGATTATTACTCCTCTGTCACCTCCTCATATCTAACCTTTCTATAAAAGTGCAGGTGTTCTGATTCCCTTTCTAGGTATGACTTGTAAATCCATTAACCCTTTCAGTCTAGAGATTATTACTCCTCTGTCACCTCCCCACATCTAACCTTTCTATTAAAGTGCTGGTGTTCTGATTCACTTTCTGGGAATACCTTGTTTGAATCCATTAACCCTTTCAGTCAAGAGGTTAATCCTCTTTTGCTTTCCGTGGGATCCTATAAGATGTAGAAGTTTTTCCAGCTCTTATTTGGAGCATACTCCTAACATTTTCTCACTCTTTCGCCCTGTGGAAGATAGAAGTAAACACTTAAATAATAAACAGGGAAATATCCTGACCCTCTCCCACCGGGGTTTTTTTTTTTAGGCAGCCTCCTTCTTTCCTCTAGATGATATTCTTCACCCCATGACGTCATGGGACAACGTGCCATGCAAATCATCCCCCCTTCCCCAGCAGTGTGACATCCAGAGGCAGGCAAGCTCACACCTCCTTGGCAGCTACCCTCCTTCCAGCTCGCTGTGCCCTCCCCTCCCCGCCGGCCGCTGGCCTCCTATTGGCCGCGGTGAAGTCATTTAATCCCAGCCGGCGTGCGCCGTATGGCTGCTGTTGTGCGCCTAGCTCTGAGCGTGTGATGCCGCAGACGAGGAGGGGAACGAGCAGACAAAACGTCCTCCTAGGTAGCGCAGCCCTGCACTTCCAGCAAGTGGCGTGTATGTGGGACCTTTCCTGTGATGACCGCCTTTGTGCTCCTCTCCATCTCTTGGTGACTCGGCGGTCACATCCTTCCACCTGGCTGTTGATCGTCCCGGACAAGTGGGAATAAAGGTGTCAGTGAGATCTTCCAGCAAGCTAGGGAGCAGTGACGGCGCACCTGTTGTGCTCAGCATCATCATCATCAAAAAGTTTGTTTCTCCTCTCCTGCAGCCCCCTGCCCAGACCTCATGCTCTTGTCCCCCCAAGTTCCTCAAGCAGTGACTGTAGTTGTGGCTGGAGTATAACAGCCTCCGATCCAGAGTTCGCACCCAGCCTGTGAATAGAGAGACCCCCCAGCCAGCTGTGTGAATGTACAGTATGATGATGGAGACGGACTTACACTCCCCCGGGGTGCAGCCCCCCACTAACACGGGGCAAGCCGGGGGAGGGGGCAATAAGGCCAACCAGGACCGGGTGAAGAGGCCCATGAACGCTTTCATGGTGTGGTCCAGGGGGCAGAGGAGGAAGATGGCCCAGGAGAACCCCAAGATGCACAACTCGGAGATCAGCAAGAGACTGGGGGCCGAGTGGAAAGTCATGTCCGAGGCCGAGAAGAGGCCCTTCATTGACGAGGCCAAGAGGCTGCGAGCCTTGCACATGAAGGAGCACCCGGATTACAAGTACAGGCCCCGGAGGAAGACCAAGACTCTGCTCAAGAAGGACAAGTACTCCCTGGCCGGGGGCTTGCTGCATGGAGGAGGACACATGGGAGTCGGCCTGAGCCCGGGTGGAGGTTGAGGAGCCCCGGACAGAGACTGCTAGAGACTGGAGAGAAACTGCTCACCAGGGGCAATACCCGACCCGTGCCCTTCACACTCAGAACTCTCACTTGGTTTCTTTTGTACAGAAATGTTTTGATGTTCTTGTATAAAAAATATATCAAACTGAAAAAAAAAAAAAAAGAAACGGGAAAGTTAAGGTAACCTATTATTGTTTGGACCTATTTAGGAATCGAGCTAACCATGCTCTTGCCAAAACGAATTTTAGAGGGGTGTAAATTGGGGACTCGGTGTACAGTATTTATGAGTTGTATAGGAGGGGGTATAGATTTTATTTGGTTTCAGACCGGTCCGAAACTTGTTTTTGTTTGTTTTTCACTTTAAAAAAAAGCTCCAGATTTCCCTGATACCTATCGATTCTACACACGAATTTCTGTACATGTTTGTTGTTTATTTATGAACAAAAAAAAAGTCCGAAGCTAGAATATATTTTGTTTTTATTTTTGTAAGCGTTTATGTATTTGCTTTTTTTCTGTTTTGGTTTTATATTATTCCATGTACATTCCTGGCGATTTTTTTTTATTCTAGGCGTTGCGGATTCATATTGTGTATATAGTTTATTAAACGTCCTCTCTGCTTTAAAAAAAAAAAAAAAAAAAAAAATTCATCAAGAAGGATGAGTTGAATTTTAAGCTAAATAAATTTTCAACTGAAAAAGAAAATAGGTATGTTTTTTATTTCAGAAACGTATTTTGAGTGCTTAGTGGGTGTAAAGTTAAAAGAGTTGGGTTTCATAAAAGTAACGGATTTTACCGTTGCCATTCACAGATAGCAGATTTCTCTGTTCTATTTAAAAGAAAAATGAATGGTTTAAAAAAAAAATAAGACTATGTTTTGAGTTTATTCAATGACAGAGCAAAATTTACCGGTGTTAAATGATTTTTATGGTGATTTAAATCAATTCAGAACAGGGATTACATTTATATTACGCTTGATTTCGTCTGTAACCCGCTAAATGATTCTTTAATAGGTTTAACCTGATCTTTATTCTTCTATTCCTATTTCCTATTTCTATTAGACATCACACATATTTTACATTCTTCAACATTGGATTTGAATACTTTCAATAGATACAAAAAATAATAATTAACTGAATTAAAAAGGGTGTTTCGGGTTAAATGAACATAATATAGAAGGAATAGTACATATCTGCCTGAAGTTTTGCCTAGTTACACATAGCTGATTATCAATTTTCTCTCTTACAGATCACTAAGTAACAAATACCCCATTTCACAGCAAACAGCCCAGATCTGTCCTGAATCCATTGTAATTACCTTACTAATGAGTAATCCTTTTGTGGCATGTTGGCTTTTTATGTGCTTCGTTAAATCCATTGCAACAGTTTCATTAAGGCCTCTATTAATTTAATGATGTCATAATTAAGTTCTGCTCAACCTGAACCTTTATAGAGTTCATAGTGATAAAGGAATATCCCTGTCGCTGGACAATCTTCAATTATAATGCTCTGAAAAGTTAGGCTTGAACTTGTCTTAAAAAGTGTTATTAAAGGGTAAGCTTTTACTAACCAATAAGTGCAAGGAGTAGTATAGGAAATGACAATGCAAAAATCTCTGCAATATCTGACAGCGTCCAGAATAGAATTATCATCACATGCTTACTAGCTGGAGGGAAATGTTTAACGCCTATCCGTGTTTGATCTCATTTAGTTCTTGTAAAAGTTTACTTCTGTTGTTTCAGACCTTTTTTTTTTGCAGTTCCTTGTAAACTCAAAGAGACTGATTTTCTAGAGGAGTTGAGAATCTTCACTCAATAAATTGTGTGAGGATTCACTTAAATGATCCAGTTACGTGAAAAGCAAATTCCTTTTTATTTAGCCTGCACATGTTTGGCCGTTCAAACTGATCACGGAAACAATCTATTGAGTGAATATTCACAACTCCTTTAGTAAATCAGCCTCAAAGTCTTGTTTAGGTTAGTTTGGTGGATTTATCCCTAGCACCAGGCCATTTTCCCACCCAGACTGAAGGATAAGAAATACTCATTTAGATGCGATGTGAGGAGCTACAGGCAATTGTTTCCTCATGGCAGAGCAGAACAAGCTTTTGGATATTCGATTCCATTTACTTTGTACTTGCTTTGGATCTGTGCCTGTCTGGTGTTTGCTACTCACCGATATGATTGTGGGGGGAAAAAAAGTATCTGTTAATTGTACTGACAGACAGAACTAGAGCTAGTAGATGGATTGATACATGATAGACGTATCTCAGGACATCTCAGTAATAGCCAGTGCAGCTTGGATTACATTAGTTGTTATAGAAAAGCATTTATTCGGCCTGGAACAGACATTTAAGACGATATCACTATATTTATTCAATTAGCAGCAAAACATTAGATAGCTAGATGTGTGTCAGTAAGTAGCCTGGCGACTTAAACTATTCAATAGGGGAAAAGTCTGGTAAAACTCTTCTTTCTGTATGTATACAGGGTTTGTCTAGGCAATCTCAAGTTTGTCAGATCAGGTCATATAATAATAATAATAATAATAATAATAATTATTATTATTATTATTATTATTATTATATGACCTTATA